CCCCCCGAATATATCCTGGCATGTAGCAACAGCGCTTCACGTTGGAATATATGAGCTACGAGCTTGTTGGTTCATGTCAAGGCACCGTGCGGGCAGCTGGCTGTCAGAACGGCTGTGTGAGCGGGTCACGTAGTCTGCCGGCGTGAGCCAAACCAACAGGTCTGTGCCCCAAGGAGCTGGCAGATCTGCACTTCATCCCGGGGGCAGGGAAGGCGGACAGACAGCTTAAGCAGGGGAAGAGAAGGAGAAGGTTGCAGACATGGGCCGTCCATAAGAACATAAGAGACGCCAGTGTTGGATCAGGACAAAGGCCCATCTAGTCCAACACTCTGTCACACAGTGGCCAAAAATACCAGGTGCCATCAGGAGGTCCAGCAGTGGGGCCAGGACACTAGAAGCCCTCCCACTGTTTACCCCCCCCCCCAAGCACCAAGATAACAGAGCATCACTTGCCCCAGAGCCCCTATCTATACCTTGTGGCTAACAGCCACTGATGGACCTCTGCTCCATATGCCTATCTAATTCCCTTTTGAAGCCGTCCATGCTTGTAGCCGCCACCACTTCCTGTGGCAGTGAATTCCAAGTGTTAATCACTATTTGGGTGAAGAAGGACTTCCTTTAGTTGTGGATGAACCTCTCCTCCATGGAACTGTCTTTTAAAGCCATCCACGCTAGTGGCTGTAACTAGATGCTGGTGGCAGTGAATTCCACCGTGTTCATCAGAACGTTACCGTATCCTCCCTGCCCCCCAATATTGAAGGTCCGGGCTAGGGTTGTACTAATTTTGTCTCCATTTTGGTTCTGCGTTCAGGCTGAAAGCAAAAGCCCGTTCTTTTGTTTTCCCCCCTTAAGATGATGCTTACAGAATGGTGAATTCTGGCTGACCTTTTTTTCCCCGGTATCCCTTTCCTTCTCGCCAGCATGTTCTGCAGCCCGTGTGAAGGACCGTGTCCCAAGGAGTGTTCAGGTGACAAGACTCTGACCATCGACTCTGTCACGGCAGCACAGATGCTTCAAGGGTGCACGGTGATCAACGGGAATCTGCTGATCAACATCCGCCGTGGGAGTAAGTACACATCTAGTCCCCAAGAGGGAGGAGAGAGAACCACATAGTTCTGTTGAGTTGGTGGATTTTGTTTCTGTTGTGCAGCCATGTACAGTTTAGTGTAGTGGTTAAGAGCGTAGACTGTAATCTGGGAGAACTAGAGATGTGAAGGCCCGGAAAAATTCGGAAAAAACCCAGGTTTTTTCCATTTTTTTCCTGAAGCCTTTTTTGTTTTTTTCCGAAAAATTGGAAAAATTGAAAAAAGAAAAGAAATGACTATGGAACGTTTTATCTTAACATGATGAATAAAATATTTTAAGACAAGGTGTTCAAATATTTTCCAAATCATTTCTAATATATATATGTGTGTGTGTGTATATATATGGTATCAGATTGATCTAATTTCTGTGCACTGAGGACAAGCAAGTCCTAGGTTACAAACTGAACTCTCCAATGTAAGAACAAGATGCATTTCTTCCTTTAGGAGGTGCTATTGTCAGAAGAAAATAAAAAGGTTTCAGTTTTGTTTTTGCATGTGGGTGGGTATTCTGTTTGTAATAATTGTTTGGATACACTATATTTTTAATATGCTAGTTGTGATAATTTCATGCCAAGTAAAAATGTCCATAGTCATATTTTCTGTTCCTAAAGTAACAGAATGACTTTCAATCTAGAAAAGACAAAAGAAATGCTAATGTAGCATTTTTTTCAATTTTTCCGAAAATTTCCATTTTTTCCCTAAAAAACCAGGGAAAAAACGGTTTTTTTTCCAAACTTCAAAATTTCCGGAAATTCTACATCTCTAGGGAGAACCAGTTTGGTGTAGTGGTTCAAGAACATTGACTCTAAATCTGGGAGAACCAGGTTTGATTCCCCACTCCTCCACATGCAGCTGCTGGCGTGACCTTGAATCAGTCACAAGTTCTATCAGAGCTGTTCTCTCGAGCAGTCCTCGGAAAAAAAAAAGAGCTATCTCAGCCCCACCTACCTCGCAGGGTGTCTGCTGTGGGGAGGGGAAGGGAAAGGAGATTGTAAGCCACTCAGAGACGCCGACTTCTTCTACTGCTTGCTAGCCTCCCAGCGCCTTGAACAGCACATAGGAAATCAAAGCTAAAATGGAACCCATTTTTCAGAATGCCCAACACAGCAGCCTAAAAACCCACAACCATGACACCAGTAAACGCGGAATTACTCTTATAAGTTCAGCACCTGGTGTGATGGGGTGCAGCAGCCCTAAATGTGTGACAGCTTTAATCCAGTGCCCGAAATGAAGAACATCAGACTGCAAGTGCGCAGCCAGAGGGTGGATGTTCTCTGAATCAGGAGCCACCACGGAAAAGTCCATTTCTCTGTAGCCAGTGTTCCAGTCTTCTCGGCTGGGGAGTTGCGGCCAGTGCGATCTGTTTGTTGGCTCTCCAGGGCAACTGGTTGGCCATCGTGGGAGACAGGGTGCTGGACCGCTGGTCCAATCCAGGAGGGCTCTTCTTAGGCCTCCAAATGGAGCACTCTCACCTCCAGGGATCATTTCGTAGAAAAAGAGCCAGGGGAACTCATTAGCATAAATCATTAGCATATGCTACACCCCCTGACATCACCGGAAGTGTGTCATAAGGCCACACACCCCGCCCCCAACGGTCCCGGCCGGCGGGAGTGCAAGGAAGCCCCGCGAAGGCCCTCCCTGGCCCCAGGCAGGCAGGGGTGGGGAGAGGCAGGGAGGAAGCAACTTACCCTCCCTCTTCTCCTGCCTCCTCCTGGCTGAATGAGGGCCGGAAGCGGGGCGGCCGGAAGCGGGGGGCGGGACTTCGTCATGTGCCCCGCCCCCCGTACCTCACCCGGGGGAACTGCGATCCCCCGCGACCCCCCCGAAATGACCTCTGCTCACCTCTGCCCAGAACTCTAACACCTCCTGCTCCATGTCACAAGGCATTTTGGAGCACACTCTCCCAAAGCAGGACTCTGCCATACCTGATGCCGTTCCTGAGCTTGGTGCTGGAGAAAGGGGTCCCCAGTTCCTTCTCCTTCTTCCATTCTTCCAATGGGATTGTTGTGGGAGCCCAGAATTATTATCGTTTAGATTTATTAATTGCCCTTTCCTGGCTTGTGCCAGACTCTGGGCGATGGACAAGGCATAATCGCCTCGTGACCCCAGGCCCAAAAGAGGCCAGGCTTGCTGCCACGAGGGCCAGGTCCTTTTCGGTGGCGGCTCCTATCTGGTGGAATGAGCTCCCGGAGGAGATCAGGGCCCTGAGGGACCTATTACAGTTTCCGCAGGGCCTGTAAGATGGAGCTCTTCCGCCGGGCTTTCGAATAGGAGCCGCCGCCACCACCACAACCACCAACTGGGGCTGGCAAAGCAGTCCGCCGGCCATCGAACATCAGGGTCACAACACCCTCCTTGTCTGATTTGAAGGGGATGTGCAATAGGAGTGAGTGGTCAATTGCGCTGGATCTGGGTATAGCCCATTGTACTAACTGTTTTAAAGTGTTTTAATTGTATTTTATCGCACTGTTGTGCCTTGTCTTTGGTATATGGTGCATTGCACCTACATATTGTAAGCCACCCTGAGCCCGCGTGCGGGAGGGCGGGGTATAAATGAAAATAAATAATCATGCCATAAAATATGCAAAAACATTAAAATTCGGTATATAACAATAAAAATCACAATACAGAATAAAAATCCAAGATGGCGATTTCCCTATATTATTTGTCCCAATTCCGGACAACCAGTCCCTTTTCTGAGCGGGGGGTGGGGGTGGGGGGAGAAAAGGGTGCCAGCCAGTGAGGTAGCCGTTGTTCCCCCCAACCAAAAGAATCGACTCGCTTGTCTCTCAGTGGCTTTTGGGTTTTTGTTTTAATCGAGTATCTAGCCCTTATGAGTTGGCAGAGAAGTTTGGAGGCATCTCTTTCCATCCCTCTTCCTTCATCTGTGCCATTCGTTTGGGGGGAAGCACTGACAAAGCCAATTAAATACTTGCAAGCAGATGAATTAAAAAAAAAAGGTGGGGGTGCTGAAGTATGCAAAATAGATGTGTTTTGCATAGTTTTACGATTGGATTTTGGATTAATTGACGGGTCTGTTGGGCTGAATAGGCAACATCTTGGCTATGGAGAGTTGTTTTTCCCCCTCCTGAGCAGAGTAGAGACCGTCTCCAAGTGGCAATTACAGACTCTCCTTGGATAATGAAAATGAATTCCCGGCATAGCCTTGGAGGTGGATGCGGAGATAAAAGACTCGAAACGCAGGTCTCGGGAGGAAAGGAACTTGCCGCCGCCGCCGCTTTGGGGTTTTTCCCCTAAGCCTGCATTTTAAAGTTGGCACCTCTTATCGCCAAGACATTGGGTGGCACGTCTGTGGATTAAGGAATTTGCCCCCGGCAAACAAAGTTTTCATGCCGCATGCATGATGCCCTCCTTAAACGTTGGCGCCATCCCCTCCCAGCCCGGTTCTCTCTGGTGCCTCGTCAGCCTTGTCTGGTTGCGAGTCTTACCAATGTTTTGATGTTAACTGTTTGTTTGGATTCCGGTTTGGAGAAGATCTCAGCCGAGACTCAACTTTATAATTGTTGTTCTCTTCGTGTCTTGGCTTTCTTTCTCGGTTTGAAATGCGTTCTTCACTCCTGCATTCGGGAGAGCCCAGGTCTCCATGCACTAAGACTGGCATGTGCGTTACACCTGACAAGGGGCCCCCGGCAGCTGGAACCTTCTCTCTGGCCCTCGCTTTGGCTCTTCCCTCTTTTCCGCTCTCGGTGTTCCTAGCTGATCAGAGTTGAACAAATCAGTTGTTTTCACACTTTCAAATAGTGTCTGCTAAGCGGGCTCATCCTCTGCCTTAGTTGGAACAAAATGTCCGGGATAAAAGGATGGTGTTTAAAAGCTGTGATAGATTTTTTTTTGGGGGGGGGGGGAGCGGGAGAAGAGGCATTCCTTTCGGTCTGAGTCATCGGACAATCCCAGGAGTAACATTTATTTCTCTTTATGTGCTGCCATAGCAGGCTGGTGGGAAACTTAAATTTCGTCTTCAGAAAACAGCAGCTTTCTGAAAAGGATCTTTGTTTGGGGGGGGGGGTTGCTCTGTCCCATCAAAAAGTTTCCTGAGCGGGCTGTGGTGCTTCACTCTTGGCCCAAATTTGGGGCCCCCTTCCAACATTAGTGACTACTTGTACTGGAGGAAGGATTCACACGTGGCTCAGTGGATTGGTAGGTCAGGGCTCAGGTCCACCCCAGTTACCCTAAATTAATCTTGTTTATTTCACAAGCCTTTAAAATAAGTCTAGGCTGTGCGATCCTGCGCAGAGTTATTAGTCTCGTAGAAAAAGAGCTAGGGGAGCTCATTAGCATAACTCATTAACATATGCCACACCCCCTGACATCACCGGAAGTGTGTCATAAGGCCACACACCCCGCCCCCAACAGTCCCGGCCGCCACCTCCGGCCTTGCAGCTCCCCTGCCGAGCCCTATGAGGGGCCCGGCGGTGGACCTGCGAGGCCGGCGGGAGTGCAAGGAAGCCCCGCAAAGGCCCTCCCTGGCCCCAGGCAGGCAGGGGTGGGGAGAGGCAGGGAGGAAGCAACTTACCCTCCCTCTTCTCCTGCCTCCTCCTGGCTGAATGAGGGCTGGAAGCGGGGCGGCCGGAAGCAGGGGGCGGGGCTTCGTCATGTGCCCCACCCCTCGTACCATTGATTTCCCGCGGCTTAGACTGGAGCGACTGTGCATAGAGCTATGCTCTAAGGGTCTTATGAAACAAACGGCTAAAAATGGAAAGAGGGCCGTTTCTAAAGGGAATCCTAGAATTCTGGATCTCCCGTCGAGCTGTGGGTTCACAACATGACATCCGGACACGTCAGGACACAGCGGGTGGAATTCCCTGCCCTCCCTCAGCATGGGGTGGCTGTATGAGCAGATGGCTTCCAAAAGACCAGTCCCAAGATCACAACTGTCGTGGCTGCAGCCCAGAATCGTCTTCTGCAGAGCCTCCCCGTTTAGAGCCAGTCTATCTTGGAATTACTTGAGCCTGGTAGCATCCCTGCTTCTGAGCTTTCGGGGGGCTTCTAGGGCACATTAAACACTCTGATGCAGCGAGGGGGTTTCTATGCTTTTATGAGGACTGATGCTTCAGTGAGGCCAACTAGTACAGAAAGATTTGCATATGTACCTAACTTGAGAGGAGGGGTGTGTGGTTTGGTGGAAGAGCCTCCGCTTGGCATGCAGAAGGTCCCAGGTTCAATCTCCCGGCATCTCCAGTTAAAAGGATCGGGCAGTAGGTGATGCGAAGGACCTCTGCCTGAGACCCTGGACAGCGGCTGCCAGTCTGACTTTGATGGACCGGTGGTCTGATAAGGCCGCTTGATGGGAGACGGGAGACCGTGACGTTTCTCAGTTGGGCTTTTTCAGCTGACTGTAATATAGCAAAGTCTGCTTCTGCCACAAGGCCAGAACAGCTATTAGCTTCCTGAGCCTTCACCACAGGGTGCCTCCAAGAAGAAGAAGAAGAGGAGGAGGAGGAGGTGGTGGAGGTGGTGGTGGTGGTGGTGGAGGAGGAGGTGGTGGTGGTGGTGGTGGAGGTGGTGGAGGAGGTGGTGGTGGAGGAGGTGGTGTTGGTGGAGGTGGAGGAGGTGGTGGAGGAGGAGGTGGTGGTGGTGATGATGATGATGATGATGATGATGATGATTGGATTTATACCCCGCCCTTCACTTGGAGTCTCAGAGCGGCTTACAAACCCCTTTCCCTCCCCCTCCCCACAACAGACACCCTGTGAGGTGGGTGGGGCTGAGAGAGCTCTTGACAGAAACTGCTCTTTTTCAAGGACAGCTGTGCCAGAGCTTGTGACTGACCCAAGGTCACATCAGCAGGTGCAAGTGGAGGAGTGGGGAATCAAACCCGGTTCTCCCAGATTAGAGTCCACGCACTTTAGTAGCCCTGTCTCCCCCAAAAGTGTGATCTCCCGGAAGGGGAGCAATCAGGCCCTGTGTCTCGGGGGTCTTCCAAGCAGTGCTGTGAAGAGACGTATTTAAGAAAGCGTGTTGGGTAGGTTGAAGGTTATAGGGGCGGCCTCTGGCTTATTTGTGTAATGATGGGTTTCAGACAGTCTCTAATAATTGACTGGTTTGGGTATTGGATTTGTTGTCATTACCTGTCCAAGAGTCCTGATTGTATTGGGAGAAAGGTGGTGGTGGGGGCAATGTATATACAAAATAACTATTCTTAGATATACAACTGTGTATGGAAAACACCAGCTGTTGAAAGCTCAGAATTTGGAGGCGACATTTGCAGAGATTGTGAATGCGAAGGGAAGGCAATTGCATTACAGCGCACAGTTCTAGCAGTATTTATTTTCACCGTGCTACTCATGGGCCAATAGAAAAAGAAAAAGAAATCACCCGCGGTTTGGTTTGCTGTGTGAACAGGCCGCACCGTATAGAGGAGGCAACCACTAGAGTGCATTAAATTTGCTCTGCGAAAAGGACAGTCACTTTGAGTCACCTGTTCCCCTTCCTTTCCGTTCTCATTTCAGACAACATCGCTGCAGAACTGGAGAACTTTATGGGCTTGATTGAAACGGTGACAGGTTATGTAAAGATCCGGCATTCGCACGCACTGGTGTCGCTGTCTTTCTTGAAAAATCTGCGGTATATTAACGGAGAGGAACAATTGGATGGGTAAGTATTGGTCTGCCGTGTAACAGTACACTGTGGGCCTCCCCCCCCCCCCCCCCCCGTGTTGGGGGGGGGTAAATAAGTCCTACAGTGAAGCCAAAAGAAACCATGTGGTCTGCTTCAAGGGAAAGATGGCTAACTTGCGTACCTAGAAGGAGTGGAGCCTTGCGTTCCTGCTCCCTTCTTTGAATGTTGCAGCAGCAGCGTCATTGAGAACATTCTCTTCATCCCTGCAGTGCTTAGCTAGACTTTCATTCTTTACCCTCCACTTGTTGCCACCTTTCTCAACACTCAGGGGTCCTTTCACTCGTGGGATGCATCCGTTGCAGCACGCAAGAGGCCCTCTAGCACGGCAACAGGTTAAGACCATGACAGCAAATACTGTTATCAGTAATAATAATAATAATTTATAAATGCAACTTATAAAGTCCGTCAGGACATGATCTGTAACAGCTTACGGCAAAATTCTTGCAGTGTTCGATTAGGAACGAAAAAGAAACGTAGAAGTTATAATCTCACCTTTCCCAGCTTCCTAATATAATCAGGTGCCTCCAAATCTAGATTTAACTTTTTGCTGCTAAAAAGGCAATAAGGATTGCCTTGTTATCAGAAAGACAAGGCCTCCGGGGTCTGCCGTCCCTCAGACGGAGAATCTCACCTGGTCTTCGGCAGTTTCGCTATTTGCCAGGCTTCGCTTCATCCAGATCCGTACTTGATTCCCCGTTTTGGGGCAGTAAGCATTCTGGTATCCAAAATAAGGCCGTATTGTGGTCAGAGTTCCCTCTAAGCTGAGTTAGTGTGAGCTAGCTCACAGTTTTTTGGCCTCCGGCTCACACGTTTTCATCTCGGCTCAGGAAGGGATGGCTCCAGAGCAAACTGATTCCTGCAGTAGCCAAATCGCGCACTCACAACTTTCATGCCAGTGGCTCACAAAGTAGAATTTCTGCTCACAAGACTCCACAGCTTAGAGGGAGCATTGATTGTGGTTGCTTTTGCCCTGGCAAAGAACAGAGAGGTGAACATAAGAACATAAGAGACGCCAATGTTGGATCAGGCCAAAGGCCCATCCAGTCCAACACTCTGTGTCACACAGTGGCCAGAAATACCAGTGCCATCAGGAGGTCCAGCAGTGGGGCCAGGACATTAGAAGCCCTCCCACTGTCGACCCCCCCCAAGCACCAAGACCAAGGTGGACCCCAGCTTGCGCCGTCACCCATTCACCAAGGAGGCTTGCATCTTGGAGCAGCCTTTGGGGAACAGGCTTTCTGTGTTGGATCGCGTGGCCCAGCCACCGTCTGCCAGCTGGTAATCCACTATGCCAGCTTGCCTGGACTTGGGCCCACCAGTGTTCATGGGGACACTCAAGCCCCTCCACCGTCAGGGGGCTTTAGTCCTTTAAATGCTGACTACAAGAACCTAGACAGCCGAACTGGAAACACTGTGCGTTGGGAACTGAAGAAGGAAACGCCGTCCTGCTGAGTCCAATGCAGGTTTTCCCTTATCTTCTCCTTAAGAACAGAAGAACAGAAGAGAAGCCAATTCCCAGATTTTTGTGTGCCAATGATAAGAACAGAAGAGAAGCCAGTGTTGGATCAGGCCAATGGCCCAGCTCGTCCAGCACTCTGTGTCACACAGTGGCCAAAAATACCAGGTGCCATCAGGAGGTCCCGCAGTGGGGCCAGGACACTAGAAGCTCTCCCACTGTTGCCCCCCCCCAAGCACCAAGAATACAGAGCATCCCTTGCCCCAGACTGAGAGTTCCTATAAGAACAGAAGAGAAGCCAGTGTTGGATCAGGCCAAAGGCCCATCCAGTCCAACACTCTGTGGCACACAGTGGCCAGAAACACCAGGTGCCATCAGGAGGTCCAGCAGTGGGGCCAGGACAATAGAAGCCCCTCCCACTGTTACCCCC